GTCATTCAGTCTTGCAGTCTAAGAGTTGGGCAGTCATTTAGTTCAAGAGTCGGGCATTAAGTCATTCAGTTTGTCCCTTCGCCATTCAGTGGTTCTCTCCAAGAAGCTGTCATTCAGACACACAGGCAGAGGCAGATTTGTTGCCCAAACGTCAGTGAGTCCAATTGTTTGTCGTTTAGTCGTATCGAGTGTCAGAGTCTGGAAATCTTTCAGTCGAAGCGGCAGTGGCATTTGGCAAAGCCACTGGCTGCCCCACCAGCCAGGACTTGCTGGCAGTCCACTTGTGTTTTTGCCTTTGTCAATTTTAATGAATTAATGCGTATTTTATGTGAAAAGTTGCCAAAGTGTCAGGCGGCACCCAAAAAAGTTGCCACACAGCAGAAAAGTAAATTAAATAAATTTATGCCCAAGGCCTGGCCGCCGCTCCACCGTCTATTATCTAAACATTAAACCTGTTCCTGGGTTATGGTTATTGATACAAAGGCTGTACAAATTGAAAATGAAAATTGTTTACCAATTTAATGATTGTGCAAACTTTTCAACGCCCATTAAAATTATATTAGAAAGTTGAAACAGATTCGAACCATTTACCATTTTGCTTTAATTTGCATTCAGCTGTTTGGAGAGTTTAGCTTTAAAGTTGATTTCTTGGCAATGATTTCGATACGCAACTTTCGCCTTGGACAACTTTTGACACTTTGCCATAAATATAAATTGTCGCAGGCGGAATAAGAAACAAACGAAAAAAAAGTGTCGAGGCTTTTGCGGCTGCAAAACCCAAAGCTGGCTGGCAACACTCATTTTTCACACAACCCGCCAGAAGCCAGCAGCCAGAAGGGAAATGGCGAATAGAGGATAAGCATTAGGAGCAGGCAAGGATTCGATGCAGCGTGGAGCCGTGGAGATGCTTGACTGATTGTGCCCGCGTTTTGGGGGTAAAAGTTTTTCGCATTAACTTCCGCTGCACGCCGCGTCGCATTTGAATGCGATTTTGATTTGTCATTCGCCGCCTTGCAACAAAAGCCGACGCCTACTTGGAGCTCCAAGCTGCACTCCAACTTTTTCCACCATTTCCGTTGCAGCAGTGAGTCAGGCGCCCACTTGTCGCCGATCATTGGTTTCCGTTGCCACTGCTGCTGCACTTGCTCCAAGTCCAAGTCTCCAAGTCGAAGTCAAAGTCGAACTGGAGACGTGCACAAGCGCATTTGGAAGTTTATGAAAAGGCCGCGGCAAAAGGGACAGAAGGAGCCGGTACACAGGACTTGGACCAGAAGCTGAGCCAACTTTCTGAATAGATTAAGTTGAAAGTTTTGCTCATTTTCAGCATCGCCCCAATCGAGGAACAAAATTATATGCCCCTCCATCCGCCAGAAAAATCAACGTAATGATGTCGCCGACAGGGACAGACGGAGGGGACAGCCAGCCAGCAGACAGCAAACCAAAATCAAAACTTTCTCAAGTGTCGTTAAAAGTAAACCCGAAAAAATGGAGTCGAGAGTGGTATAGGGTTTATTTCCATTCCACTACTTACTATCAACTATTATCTTGTTGATTATGCTTTCGCGCAAATGGACTTTTCGCTCTCTTTTTTCTGGCTCACGACTTTCGTACCTAAGTTTCCGCTCAGAGGTTGGGTCAAAGTTTGCTACAAAGGCCTAGTTAATCCTTTTGTTGTGCACAAAGTAAAGGTGCCAATTACTGAGTGAATGCCGTGGCTCATGACTCACATAAATCACATGAATTTGAAGCAACAATATCATGAGTAACCGCAGCAATCATCATATCGAATATTGGCAGAACGTGTCCATGTGCTCTGATGGGGGTAGTCGTTGCCGTGGCCTTTCCAATCAAATTGCCCATTGTCCGGGTGCTTCTTTGTTTTATCTTTCCCTTTATTTATTTATGAATAAGGATACGTAGGATAACGCATAGCTAGCGAGCAGCCAGCCCCCAGCACCATGCATGTAATTAATCAGAGGAGAGTCTATTGGGTTTGGTTTTGTGGCAACTGCAGCAACAAACGAACGCAATTTGAGCCGGAGCACCGCAGCCGGCTAATTGAATTTCCATAACCGAGGAGACGGAGGCACTTGGCCGGCCACTCCCTTTATGGGCAACATCATCTCGGCCTTTCTGGGTGCTGCAATCGATGGGTTTCGACGAATTTCACTAATTGGGCAGGCAGGCAGAAGAGGTACTACTGCTGTTAGCATGGTGTCGGGCCCCTTGACATGGATTTTATGTTGATCCTTTGACCAGCCAAATAATTAATTAGCTGCATTAAAACAAGCACAGAGACAGAGCTCTGGAATCGTAGCACAAAGGCAAAAGAGACTCGGAGATGTGCCATTGATTGGGCCATGTGTTTTATGGTCATTATAAGAATGCCAACTGAAGAGCAGAAGGGGCATATCGAATGCCGCCTCATTATATTGTCTAATCGTATTGTGGACTCTGTGCGGCACAAGTCCATTAAACCGAATATAACTTGGTGTGTGGTGGGCATAGATATTATATGAATGCCCCTCAAAGGGTAAAGCAATAAGTGGGAGAGCCAGCCATTCATTGATCCAATCCGCTGATGGGAAATGGTACAAGTGTGTGCCTCCTGGTTTCGGTTAGTGGGAATTGCGGCCCAGCGGGGCAAGATATGATTAAGTAGTCGGCCCCAGCCCCCGTTGAGGTGTTGATTGATTTGGAAACTCAAAGGAACCTAATTATTTTGAGGGGATTATGATTTCTATGGCCAGAGGTATACAATTAATTGAAGGATTACATTTCCTTTTGTTCCATGTTCCACACAACCCCACTCATGTTTCGACTTTTATAATGAGTTTCCCCTCGATATGGAACAAAGAAAAACCACACAAACTTTGGGCACACACATCCACAGAGAGATATACATGTGTTTTTGTATAAATCATAAGATAAAACCAAACCACTTGCATTTCATGATAAACTTTTGTTGTGTTGCTTGGAAAGTTAAGTCGGTTAATTAAAACCGAGAAGGGAGCGAGCTGATCCGAGGCTAAGGGCAAAATTGTTGTACACATTTATGCTCCTTATGCAGGACTAAATGAAAACTCACCCACGAGAGCTGTTAACCTGATGATGAAAAGTAGGTAAGAGGGAGAGGAGGAAGGGGGAGAGAAAGAGGCGCCAGCAGCGACGACGACAACATATTTGCGATTATTTCCCACGCGGGCACTCAAAAAATAAGGAGCAATAAATTAAAAGGCAAAAGACGAAGGAAGACGACGACGAGGACAAACATCGACGGTGTGCTCCTTCCTGCTGGCAGAATGGCAATCTTTGAAGCTTCGTTTCGTACCTAAACCCCAAGGCAAAACGGCAAGTAAAGCGGCAGCCACTTCAGGTGTAAATGAAAAATGTAATTATTTCGTAGATTTGCGCTTTGGCCATAAAATAAACATGCGGAAGGAAGGAACATTCCACTATTTGCCCATGGAGAGCCGCAGGGACAAAACGCGCACAAAAATCCAGCGACAGAGAGCGAGGAACTTCAAAAGGGCAAGCCCTCGAAAATGTTGTACGAAATGAATGTACATTTTGGTCCCCTGCACTCGAATAAATAGTTTCTGGCGAAATGAGTTCAACGTTTTGAGCCAGCTGAAAGTCTCCAAGAAATGAGAGCAAACAACGCTGATGGAGGGAGGATGGCAGGCCTGAAGGTAGAGGCAGAGCCGCGCTCTCAGGGGCAGATGAAGGAAAGCCGTGGCAAAAGGCAAAACAGCATCACAGGTAGATACAGTGGCAAGGGGGGGCAGAGGGAAATGCCGGCTAAAGGAAGGAGCCAGTCGCCCAGTCTGATGCTCATTAATTAAGAAAGTGGCAAATGAAAAGCCTGCGAAACAAGCTCACAATCCCAGCGAGGAGGGGTGGGATGTCTCTTTTGGTTACTGACCTGAGCCCTACATACATACATACATATAAATATGTACATACATACATACTCGTACAAATCCGTTTTATTTGCTTTCACTTGTTATGCTCTAATATTTTTTTGGGGCATTCGTTGGGCGTTTTTGTTTGCCCCCGACAAACCCCTCGTCGACAGCTGCTTGCGGCTTGCCACAGCTCCCCATTGCATTTGACTGTTGTTGGAGGTAGCCCCTACCCCTACCCCTACCCCTGTCCCTGGCCCTACCCCTGCCTTTAGCTCAAACAAAAAAGTCGAAAATTAAATTATTAATTTATTGCCCGTTGCTCAGGGCTCCCGGACGGACGCCCGGACTACCCTCCGCTCGGTTTCTATGGTCCATTCACTCGTGTATTTTTGGAAAAACAAAAAAGAAATCATTTTCGTTGCTGTTTCCGCGGTTTCCTTCGACTCGCTAATTATTCATAAATTAAGCGCAGATAGGCTGCTGCTGCTGCTGCTGCTGCTGCTGGGTCAGGCAGGACTTCACTTCACCATTTGCTTGTTTATTTAACAATTTGCGCTGTTTTGGGCCAGCAGCACAAGTGTGCCAAAATGATCTTTGATTGGAGTTAATGTGTTAGCCGGAATGTGAATCGATATTTAGGGTGGACAAATGGTAGGTGGAAGCGCTAACTAAGTTGAATGTGTGTTAGGTAAGACCAAGTAAGTAAGTAATTTGCTTTTGTTGTCATAAAAAAGAGTAGCATTATTTCGAGAGTTTCATTAGTTCAAATAATTATTTTTTGTCATTTGATCTTAAAAATGCCGCCGCCAGCGAACGCAGAACCCAACCCGGAAGGACCACCCCGACGTATGCGGTACAAGTGGATTCTGATTGTCCGTGTGTTAGCATTGGTTCTGACTGTTGTGACTGGGGCGCTTATCATTGTTCACATTTACTTGAGTCACAAATGAAGCAAGCACAAACGAAACCAAACCACAACGGACTACAATCCAGAATGGAGAGCAGCTCAAAGAAATATTCGTTAATTACTTAACCCCGCTTAAAGCTTAAACTTAAACATTAATTATAATAATTGTTGTTGTCTCTACTTACGATATTTCTCCAAATGGGGTGAATGCATCTTTCAGTTGCTGTGTCTCAATTTCGGCACTCAAGTCGCCCACAAAAATGTGAAACTGTTCTGTAAAGACAAAAGAAATGAAAAAGATGACAAGTTTGCAGGCAATTAAAAAGTGTTTGAAAGCTTAACCCAAAGCCGCTGATGGCTCAGACAGACAGATACTTGAGATCACGCCCATGTGTGTGTGCCTGGCTGCCTCAAGAGGCAACTGACTGAAATCGCAACGTGCAATTTCCTTCCCTTTCCCTTCCGCCCCCGCACCAGCCCTCGACTCGGTTTGCAGCTCGGTTCGGTCAGCGGCATTTGAATCGTCGGCGTGGTCGGTGTCTGTTGCTGATTTGGGGCTTGACATTATCAAATGCCGCCTGTCACAGGGCCTGCTCCAGTACCAGTACCAGTACCACTCCCACCCCCATTCCCCTTGCCTGAGCCTGGGCCTGTCTGCTTGGCTGTGCTTGTCACTCTCGTTGCCACTTTGGTTGCCGCCGCACTGACTCTGGCTATGGGCTATGACTATTTTCGGAACACCCAAACCAGCCCAACCCATGCCCTGGCCGGGAATTGGTGCTCCTGCTGCTGCTCCGGCTCAGATTGCAATGTGACAACAGCTGAGCGCAGGTGGACATGAGTGGGGCATCTATGGCCAGGCACAAGTGCCGGCAACGTGTCATGTTTGTATGCACGCGCTGAGACCAACTATCTATTGCCCACTCATTGCCAGGATGTGTGTCTCTCTGGTGGAAGGTCCTATTCCATGACCAGGCCCAGGACCAGGCCCAGGCCCTGGCCCGGGCAGTGTCCTAGTCCGGGAGTGTTGCTGCTTTTCGGCTCGCGTCCGTGCCAAAATGACATAGTTTCGCATTACAAGGAAATTGCACTTGAATGTGCCAGTCGGTGGTGGGCGTGGTTGGTGGCTGTCCATGCACTACCACCTCCCAATCTCCTCCCCCCTGTCCCTGTCCCTGTCCCTATCCCTCATCATGTGTGCAGTGGAAACAGAGTTGACAAATATGCCAAAAAAGAAAAACCCCCCGCTCGGGCAACATGAATTACAATTCTGAAGAGGGAGAAGGGTTTTGCAGCTACTTCAGCACTCCCCTGCTCCCTTGGCCACGTTTCAGCTGCGCGTCGTCCCGTAGCTGTTCGTCCTGTCCGTGCTGTCCGTGCTGTCCGTTCGTCTGTCTGTCTGTCCTTACGGAGCGACAGGAAGTTGTGCTAAGCGTCATTTCCGTTGTTTTGAGTGATTGCAATTGAGATACGGTTTTTGTGGTTTTCTTTTTCGGTGTAACTCCAGGGGGGATCGAGTACCAGAGCGGGAGGAGAGCGGTCTGTGTCCGGCCAGAAGCACGTGTTCTGCTCGCAGCTCGTTTTCTCACTTAAGCGGGTTTAAATTGCGAATGATTTTGATGTGTGGCCTAATGTTCTGTAAATTGTGACCTTAAAGTAAAGGATTACGTGGGGAAAATGCGCAAAAAAATATGTGGGACCCTCCCTCACGCATGGCCTGCCATGGGAATGTTGCCATTTTGATGTTGACACTCGAATGCCTTTATCGCGGCGGTAATAAATTGTATTGCAAATCCCCCAAATCAATCGTTGGCCAATTTATTTTATGCAATCTCTGCATCTGACAAATTCTCTCTGCCCCAAACCCAAACCCAAAAGCAACAAAAACAATTTATTGCCCTAACTAACAAAACTGCAGCTGCAATCAGGCGCTGCATTTACGGAACTCCCCACAAAAAAGGAAGCAAAATCCCACCAAAACCCATTCCAGCCACATCCAACAATAGCCCCATTAAATCTGTCCGTTACAATATGTTGTTGTTTGGTCAGTCGCAAAACAATTTGAACGGAGCATTTTATTTGGCGGCGGCGGGAGATATTTTTGGTTTATTTTATTTTTGCCAGCCATGAGCTGGTGCCGAACCGGACCGTACCCAATGGTCCGGCCCAATTAAGTTCCAGTCCATAAAATTTGCATCAAAAGGCGACCATTGACCTTTGGGCGTGTCTATAATTAAGAGAGCACCCCGCCACCAACCGCCTCCCGTGCAGTAGGGAAGCCCCGCCAGCTCAGTGTCTTTGGAGTCTCAGTGGCAAAGGCATTACGCATCGGGGCGCTCCACAATTAAAGAGCCGATCCATTAAAAATTTCGGGCTAACAGCGGGCAGCCAAAAGCTAATGGCCAAAGGAAATTCGCAGCCAAACACCAGGGCTTGAAAATGAGCGAACATCAAAAACAGGAAGAGCAGGAGAGCGGCGGGTGGTGAGGGGTAGTTACAGGAGCAGAAGCAGGAACTGGAGCTGGGAAATGTAATTCGACATAAAAATATCGTAAATCTTAAATTAGAAATTTCGCACATTAAAAACTTGGAAATTGCATTTGGCTTTTGGATTCAAGTTTTGGTGTGTCGGCGGCGGCCCTTCATTCATGAAATGTAAGCCAAAAGGCGAAAAATTCCAGAGAAAAACACCAAAGCTGGACCCTCTGTTTTTGTTGGAAGTTGAATGAAGGATCCCCTCCGGCTCTGCCTTTTGGGCTCGTTCGGCCTGCATAAAGTCAGTCCATTGGCGCACATTTTTAATGAGTTGGACATAAAAAAGTTTTAGCTTTTCAAAAGCTGGTGCCGAAATGAAGCCAATGAAAGAGCGAGCAAAGAATAAAATATCCAGCGAGAACGAGAGCGTCGAGAGCCAGAGACACCAAGAGGAAGACAGATAGAATCTTGGTCTGTGGGCCATTGTCTCTGTAGGGATTTGAGTGTTGTCCTGCTTGTCGTCTGCTGTTTTATTGCATAATCGTGAGTCAATCAGCGACCTCGGGGTAGCCGGCAGCCTCCCTTATTGTGGCACGGAATTGGATTGGGGGGTGGGATGTGACGAGTAGCGTCGCATTCGCTCGACCTTCATCAATGCACGTCAGCTAATAAATACGTGCTGCATTTCGTCCTGCCTGACCTCCCCCAGGGAGAGACACACACACACACCGAGGACACCGAGGACACCGAGGGAGTGCCGCTCTGATGCCCCCCATGCAATTAAATTTCACTTCAGCATTTCCAGTTTCGCTTTAATTTGGACAAATTTAATTGAATTTTGAGAGCATCAAAATTGCGCATACGCCATGTCCCGGCCTGTGCCCTCTGCGCTGCCCGTGCCCTTTGCCCCGTGCATACCTAACATAGAAAAATGTGTCCGGAAAATCCAATTGATTTGCGATAAAAATTGTGTGCACTAATTTCGTAGGAAATTATAGATTTGTATGGTAATTCGCATCAATTTGACGGCATTCCTAATGCACTCGATCATCAAACAAATGCAAATGCTGGCCACCTATTGAGTGTGTGTTGGTTGTTTGGTTGCCGTTCGAATTCCAAAATGGTTGTAAAATAATTTTGAATGTTGTGGCATTAGCTGCAGCAGAGTGCCAATCGAAACAGTCTGGGTTTGGGTCTCTCATTAGAGACCATAAATTAGCGATTGGAGCAGCGATAAAGCATAGCGATAAATACGAGTATATCAATATCGTGACTGTGTGTGTGAGGAATGTGCGGCACTATAAATAGTTTTCAGCTTGAGTCAGAAGAACCCGACCAGTGTCGCCATTCAACCATGCAACCACTTGAACACTTTTTGTTTGGTTCCTGCCTTTTTTTGGCGCTTGTCCAATGCGCGAACTGAAACCGGAGTGACTACAAATGTGGTTGATATGTACGCGAAAAGCGGCAGACCGCAAAAGTAGCTGAACAAACACAAATGTGCCGGGGCCAAATGCACTGAAAAAGCGGGGAGCGCAAAACTGAGCAACAAATAATATGCAGACTGTGAGGATACCCTTTATTCAGATGGAGGCTACATTTCTAGTGTGGAATATATTTAAATTTATATTAAAGAGTACTTTTGATCAGTTGTACCAGAAGTACAACATTCCGAAGAGTACTCCTAGATATGGGTAAAAAATCATCAGTAAGGTGGCAGCATGGCACGGGGGTGTTTGTGGAGCAGAGGTAAACACTAATACATGGGCGTCCGACAAATGTGACGGACATGGACATGTGTACCCCTCTGTTACACGCTGTCTCTCTCTCACACTCCTATAAATTTATATGTATGCACGAGTGTATGTGTGTGTGGCAGAAAATGCAAAATGCAAATACAAATACAAACACAGATGCTAACTAACCGCAGCAACATGGCAGCACATCTACAAGCACACAGCTGTATGTCTGTGTGTGTGTGTGTGTGTGTGTGTGTGTGTGTTGGGGCCACTCATCGTTTAGACTGCTATGCAAACATATGAAAATGGAGATTTTCCAGGATGGTCCATTTTGATGTATTTTGTACGGAAATTATGTTACAATGCCACTCCACTCCACTCACTTTTGCATCGCCCCCAAACAAGTCAGCAATTACGATGCTCTCTCGCTCACCCCCTCTCTCTCTCTCTCTCTGTCTCTGTCTCTGTCTCACACACCGCCACTTGTCATGGCAAAGCGATGAAAAAAGATGAAGGATAATAGCGTCGGATTGCCCGAGAACTTTTCACATGAAACACTTGACGGTGAAAAATGCATTGCCTCTTGAATTAAATCAACAGCAACTCGAGCTGAAAATTCCTTGTACAAAAGCACCAAGCACCAAGCACCACCTCATGTTCAGCTACGAGTGGCCCAGGCCACATTATTGCCATTGGCAACGCATCCGCTTGGCCAGCAGAGCACTCATTGTTGTCGAAATATAATTCATGACATAGTCAGATGGGTTTCCCCGGTTGCATCTGCAGGGAAATTGTATGCAGCTCAGCGCAGGCCAAGCGGACTGTTGGACTGTAGAAATTCGAGCATAAGTATTTGATTTTCGAAATAAATGTATTGTGGTGAGGTTAGAGAGATTATTTGGGTAAAGTAGGTTTAAGAAGGCTTTAAAATTGTGCTGGGTATGCGCTATTTTCTAACAAATTGTGATGAGAGTGAATAAAGAAAGAAATCTTCCATAATCCTGCTCTAGCCTAATAATACTGCTTAATAAAAATACACGTTATGCAGCTATAAATCTA